CTTCCCAGAGCAGAGGTCTCCCAGCTTCAAGGTTCTTCCTACCCACCCCCACCCCCCACCCCCGTCAATTCTGTCTCTCCTCCACCTCTGGGCTCCTTGGATGACTTCTCTTCTCTTGCTCCTTGGGCGCTGAGAATCAGATCAGCCAGCCCTGGTTGAGCTATGCTGACCTGAAAGCACTTTTTGAAGGAGCATAGGAGGAATCTGAGTCCCCACAGGAGACTTGGTGGGATCAAAGTCTGGTAGCTGATTAAGGCCAGCACCCAGCCCAGGGCTGTCATCCGGGAGCGCATGATGAGTCAGAGGAGAGCCACCCAGGGAGCCCAGACCTCAGAATATTGACTCTTCCTCCATCTTACCCGCTCAGCGACGGGCCGTCCCAGCCTGTTCCTGGTTATGACCTCTTTTCTCTGAACTGTATTTTTCTTTTCTGGTACTGGTCCTCTTTCCCACTTACCCCTCCCCAGTGAAGGAAGTTGTGATATCTGGGAGGCGAAAGGAGACAAATGGAACCATGTGAGCTTGGACCTTGTTGTCTTGTAATCAGAGAAACTTCACACTGCCCTTAGTGTGTAGCTGCTCTGTGTGCAAGCCAGTCCTGGACCCGGACAAACCCTTTTGATGCCATTTGGTAACATCTCCTGGGACTGTTTCTTTCTCTCTCAGTGAGACTTTTCTGGGCCGAGAATGTATCTATCCTGCTGGGCCTCCTACCCGGTTTAGGACTCGTTGCTGCTAAATAATGATGCGCCTTGTTCCAGAAACTGCTCCAGCCTCATTTCTGAATAAATTGTCTAAACAGTGGTTGAAGTCCACCTTCAGCGTTTAAAACTTGATGTGTAAAGTAGTGAACCTTACTCTTCAAATCATGAATCCCTTTGAGAGTGATGAAAACTGTGGTCTCTCCCAGGAAAAAGCACGTACGTGATCATCTCAAGGGCTAGTGGACTGATAGCCCTGCAGACCCAGCTTCAGAACCCCACTTTAAAGGAACCCTGAAGTGAGCCCTTTGGTAATGTGTAGAGTCATGTATTAAAAATGTTTGTATATCAGGCTTAAAAAAATAAGCCAACAAAAACAGAACACCTGTCACAAGGACCTAGAAGAGAATAGAAGAGTTAACCCAGATAATCTAACCTGATTTGAGGGATTATGGCGTCTCCAGAGCCCTGTGGCTCTTCTATGGCACTGGTCCCTTTTTTTTTTTTTTTTTGACTGTGCCTCTTGGCTTGTGGGATTTTTGTTCCCTGACCAGGGATTGAACTCTGGCCCTCAGCAGTGAGAGCGTGGAGTCCTAACCACTGGACTGCCAGGGAAGTCCCTGCACTGGTCACTTAGGGGCTGTGTGTGTGGGGTTTGGGGGAAATTCTATGGAACCCCAGCTTGCTCATCTCTTCCATGGCTGTGTTAGTAGTTTTCTCACGTCAGTGTTGAAGCGGATGACTTGCTGGCAACTACTAATAAGCAACTGCTACCCAGGAGGGTCCAGTCCCTGGGGGTGACGGATTGTGGCTCCAACTGTCTCATCAGGGCATTTCCTCTTTTCTCATCACAGCATCCTGATGTCCTATGACCATGTAGAACTTACGTTCAGTGACATGAGGAATGTGCCAGACTCCTTCAAAGGGACCAAGAAAGGCACCGTCTACCTGACCCCGTACCGGGTACGTTGTACAGCAAGACGGTTGGTTTGGCGAGTCAGTTGGTTTGGAGACTCATGGCTTCGGGAGGCTGATGTGAGTCTTCGGTCAGCCTCAGCCTCGTGAGTCTTGGGTCACCCGCAGCCTCGTGAGTCTAGTGGCCGCTGAACCCTGGTGAATGTTAGCGTGTTTCTGTCACATGCTCCTGGTTCTAGAACCACCAGCCTCTTCGCACAGCAGAACTGATGGCTGGGCAGTGAATCCGTGTAAGTTCCAGAGCTGCTGCTGCAAAATCTCTCTGTAGTTGGATGCAGCTGCTGGGATGACCTGGGCCTGGAGGGGAAAGGCTGTTGTTACTTTGATTTCTGTAGGCGTAGCCCGTGAGGCCTTTGTGCACATCCAGAGTGATAAATGTGGTCAACAGGATACAGTAGCCTGGCCACAGCCTCGGGACTGGCAGAGAGACCGGCAAAACCCTGCGAAGCGAGAAATGCCAGACTGCAGAATGGGCCTTGCCTGAGAGTTCCCCCAGCAGACTCTTGAGAGACTTCCAGAGAAGCACAGATGGATATTCTTGGGAAAGGATCGCTGCGTGCAGCTGTCCCAGAGTTAGACTTAAGGATTGTTAGAGCAAGAGGAGCACAGGCTTTAGTGGAGACCGGGGTGGGGGGGGGGGCGTCTCAAAACCCTATCTCTGGGGGTTCAAGCTGGCATCTTCAGTCACAGATCGAAGTCATGGGGGTAAAGCAGAATGTTCTCCACGTGCAGGGTGGGAGACTGGCTGTTGGGCAGAGTCTGCAGAAAGGTTAGGATCGTCCCTTCTCCTGGGATCCGCCACCCGCTGCCGTCCCGCTTCTCAGTTCTGTGACGCTCAGGCTGAGCTCTCCCCTCAGGAGCCCTTCCCTGCCTCGGCCCTGCCTCTCTGCCCTGGCCTTGCAGGCCCTTCACTTAGGCTCCACATCCGCCGTCTCCTCACCACCACATCTCAGTGGCAGAGCAGTCTGTCCTGCTCACACGTGCTGTCTGAGCCACACATTTTCCTTGTGAATTCACATGTCTGGCCTCCAGCCCGGCTGCATCTGAGGCCTTTTACTCTAAAAAGCACTCTCCGGGGCTGGCTGGTGCAGAGAGCGCCCTGGGGCTGCTGGGTGCTGGCTCGGGCCACCCGAGCCTGGGAGATGATGGCCTCCCACACATAGGAGGTGATGGCCGGGCAGGCCATGGTTCAGGTGGGGATGGCCCTTGTCCTCTCTCCCTGCAGGTCATCTTTCTGTCCAAGGGGAAGGATGCCATGCAGTCCTTCATGATGCCGTTTTATCTGATGAAGGACTGTGAGATCAAGCAGCCTGTGTTTGGAGCAAACTACATCAAGGGAACAGTGAAGGCTGAAGCAGGAGGTGGGTGACAAAGGAGCTTGGGGACGCTGATGGGGCTTCCAGAGAGGTGCTCTGGGGCATCTCTGACTGCTGCCCTGGAGATGTCCTCTTTGGACCCTATCACTCTAGCCTTGTCTTCTTTCTGGCTCTGGATTAGCTTCCAAGACCAACACTTGGGCTGCCAGCTGTTTAGCAGGGGGAAGTTGCCACAAGCTGGAAAGTGCTAACATTAAAGATGACAGCTCAGATCACCTTTTCAGGGAGGGAAGTCAGCAGAATGACTGTAAACCAAGTGAAAATGCTTATTGTGAGCTGGGGAGTGTGTTCAGATGTTAGGTGTGGGAGGGAGCTGTATCAGGTTCTTGGGAAGGGTCTTTCCCCTAGAGCCAGGCAGAACCCGCTGCCCCTCTGTAATGCCTGGAGAGGCCCTGCTTGGTGTCAGGCTCTTTGCAGACCCCAGAGACCCCTGCGTCGAACTTGCCTTCCCGCTCACCTTCAGCCTGGCCCGAGCCTTGCTGTTGAGCTCACAGTTCCCCTTTGGACAGAAGCCAGGCTGGAGGGGCCTGGGGTTTGTCCTCAGGTCCCCTCGGGATGAGAGATCTGCTCTGAACTTGAATGTCAGTTGTTGCTGAGCGTGCTTGTTGCTGAGAAGCTGCTTTACTGGGGGTGGGAGGCCTGAGTGCACATGTGCTTACAGGGCTGTGCAGTAAGCGGGCAGGAGGTGGCCGGTCTGCAGTGCTGGCATGTGATGTGGGCGGTAAGCCAGAGCAGCCCTTTCCTCGCAGGCCTCCTGGCCATGGGATGGGGCCTGGGGAGGACGAGTAGCCACATCTCTTCAGACGGAACTTAAGTTCTTTTCCGGAGCTGTTGATGCGCTGTTCCCTTCTCAGGTGGCTGGGAAGGCTCTGCGTCGTACAAGTTTACCTTTATGGCAGGGGGCGCCATCGAATTTGGACAGCGGATGCTACAGGTGGCATCTCAAGGTATCAAGGCTCTAAAAATCAGGGGCCAAGAACGCATTGAATGTGTGTGTTATTTGCTCATTTGGGTTTGTTTACTTTTTGTTTTGTTTTTTAAGCAGTCAGGAGATGAGTTTCTGGGCCCCAGGCTGCCCAGGGCTGGGAGTTGGGAAGGAAGCCTGTAATAAACATCACCCTCCTGTACCTCAAAGGCAGGGTTTCCCCTGCCTGGAGCAGGTATAGGACATTTTAACAAAGCTGTTTGGACTCAAGGACATTTTACTGTGGCCTCATAGAAACAAACAAAAACTCAACCATTAAGCTACCATCAGGCAACCATTTTAAGTCCCCAAGGGCTGTGTTCAGCAGACCTCCTCACCTCGTCCCCAGCCTCACCCAGCTCCATTCTCTACCCCACCTCTAGCCTCCTCCTTCCCTCCATCCATCCCTCCGCCCCTGTCCTGGACCTCCTCCACCCCAGCTCTGACCTCTCTCCCCATCCAGACCCCTCGCCTCATTCCTGACCGAGGCGGACTCCAGTGGGGAGGGGTGAGGCGTGTCTGCTGTGCGCATTCCTGGGACCCTGCAGCTCCCCTCGGCAGGCGGTCGGAACGCCCTCTCCCCAGTACCCAAGGCCCGCGACACTCATTTCTCTCTCCCCTTGTGCTATAGCGTCCCGAGGTGAAGCCCCCAACGGAGCCTATGGTTACTCTTACATGCCCAGCGGGGCCTATGTCTTCCCCCCACCAGTCGCCAATGGAATGTACCCCTGCCCTCCTGGCTACCCCTGTCCACTGCCCCCAGCTGGTGAGTGTGTCCTTTGCTGCCCACGCCTCCCCCCCCCCCCCCC